TTGAGATGCTTACCTTCTTCTTTTAATGCTAAGATCACTACAATTATTGAATCTAAAGATTTAAATACTTATTCAATTGATAACTTACTTAGATCACACATTGCTTATGAGTAAGGGGTGAATTAAAGAAACCTTGATTCATGTGAGAAAAAGAATGAGAAAACTGTGGCGCTGAAGGCCAACAACACGAACACTGATTCTTACGGGTATGAAAGTGATGATGTTTCCTTAATCACGAGACAATTTAAAAGATTTCAAAGGAAGGTGTTTGGAAAATGTGTTCTAATTTCTATTTGTAGCATTGAATTGAGGAAACAATGGAATATATTTGGAACTTTCCATCTCACCTCATTAGGCTTAGATTGGATTTTGTGTTCTTTCCAATCTTCTCAAATAATGGAAGAAGTTCTAAGTGGAGGTCCATGGTTTGTGGGTGGACACATAATAGGGATGAATAAATGGACGCCTCAATTTTCACTAACATCACTAAAAGGTTTATCATCATCATTTGGATCTGGTTGCCTCATCTACCTCTTCATTGTTGGGATGAGGTGGATGTTACAAAAATTGTTTCAAAGATAGGAGTCCCATTGTTCTTGAATGGAAAGATGTTTAAATGGGGGAGACGAGAATTCCCAAGAGCCTGTGTTTGTATTAACCTTGAATCTAAACTAGCTAATGGTATTTGGATTGAGGGGTTCTATGGAAATTTTTTTCAAAAAGTGGAGTATGAGAAAATCTCATCTTTGTGCTTCAAATGTGGTAAGATAGGCCATAAGATTAAATGTGTCAAGATGCTATTAATGAAGATAAAAATAAAATGTATAAGGGAGCATTGAATGATGGGAACAAATACTTGGGTAAAAAAGAAAAGGCTAATGATCATTCAAGAGAATATGGTCCTTAGTTACATGTAAAGTTCAAGAATAAAAGGATGAACAAGTTTCAGAATCAGAAGTATATGGCTCATCGTGCAGTTGGAGATCTTGCTCATGGTCATATGAAAAATGCAAATAAATTTAAAGTACTATCTCATAATTATGAGGTTAGGGATAGAATGGAAGTGGAAATTTTAGATAATCATGTTTTGGGTGAGAAAATGTTAGTACATTTTGAAGATGCTAACATTGAAGGGAATGGTGTAGAAAAAATGGCTCAAATTTTAGAAGTTTCAATAGTTGATCCAGCCATAATTCAGATTTCTAGGAAAATAGTGAATGGCTGAATGAAGTGGTGAGGAATTATTTAGATTGGATGTTGCTGAAGTTAAGAAATTCAATTTTTATAAAACATCTTCTGAAGTTAGAGGTTCTGTCTTGGAAGTAAGAATTTCTGAGTCAGGATTGTGCAAAGAAGTAGTTGTTGTTGATAAAGTTCCTGTTCAACAAGGAGATGGGGAGATTGATCAAGATGCTGAATGTTGTGTTGTGGAAAAAGGTTTCGATACAAAGACAAATCATCAAGAGGAGCTACATGAAGGCAAGGTTGTTGTTTCATCAATACCTGATGAAAGAAATGAAATAAATTCTAAATCTGAATCTGAATTCATGGAAGATTTTATTGAGAAGGTGAGAGACGTAGAAGTTTTGATTGAAATTGAATCTGATATGGTTGGTGAATGAGGTACGGGAAACTCTCACGATTCTAAAAGTTTGAAGCAGATAAGTACTCCTTTGTCAAAATTTGGTAAAGTAAAAAATGGAGAAGCTTTGTTTGAAGATGGGAAATTCCAACTCCCTTCTAAGTCAAAGAAAATATTTAATAAAAGATTCAATGTTGTTTGGTCCTATTAAAGGAAACCTTAGAGAGAGAAGCTCCAAGATTCTAGAGAGAGAAAGAATTCAAATTCTTCGTGGATCTAGTTTGGCGGGTTTTCTGGGATGCCGATGGGTGGTCCGGCATTGATCGCCATCGGCGAAGCTACTGATGGCTTCGATGGGAGTAAATCTCGGCTGGCTTTGACGAATCCTTCGGTAAGAAGCGGTAATTTGGTGATCAGGGAACCTTCTGTTCCAAAAATTTCTTCCCCTGTTCTTGTTCCGAAAAAAGGAAAGGATATTGTAGTTTCAAAAATGGATTCAGATTCGAATTTTTCTGTAGTGAAATTTAAATCCATTATTGATGAAGATTCTTCATCTTCCGGTATGAAGATATTCGTCAACCATTTTGGGAATTTAAATAAAGGAAACGGTGATTTATCAGAGGTCCCTTCAATTCAAAGTTTTAAAGAGGGCCCTTCAGATGTTTGTGAAAATGGCCAGAGATTGACTAGGTTGGCAGAAAAACTTGGTGGTACAAGAAACGAAAAAGCGATTATGGGGACCAATCCATGGGTCAAGCAATCTCACATCAAAGTTGATCAAGAGAAGGTGGTTAACTGTTTAACTGAGGACTGGATGGCGGTAAAACTGTTTGAACCAAATGTGAAAACCAATTCTGATCATCTTCATCTTTCTATAGTGGTCAAGGTATTTGGAGGAAATAATTCTATTCAGACGACAGCTTGGGAACTACGGCGCCAATGGAGTCAGTTTGGTAAATTCCATTTGACATCAATTTGTTTAGGCTGGATGTTGTGTTCTTTTTTCATAAAAGAATCTATGGAAAGTGTAATTGTGGGTGGGCCATGGTTTGTTAATGGGCATATAATTGGAATGGATAGATGGAGTTTGGATTTCTCTCCTTCTTCATTGAAAGGCCTTAGCTCTCTGGTTTGGGTTAGATTTCCTAATCTTCCCCTGTTTTGTTGGGATGAAGTTAATATAGCTAGGATTGCCTCCCTTATTGGCACTCCACTTCTTATTGATGATGGGAATATGTTTCAATTGAGCAAAAGGGAATTTGGAAGAGTTTGTGTTAGATTGGAACTTGACAAGCAATTTCCTGTGGGGGTTTGGGTGGAAGGTCCTAATGGGAGATTCTTTCAAAAAGTGTAATATGAGAGAATTTCTTCTCTTTGCTACATGTGTGGCAAAATTGGGCACTCAACTGCTTCTTGTGAATCAAAAGTGGAGGTTGAAGATAGGGATCAGGTGGCTACAAAAATTGTGAAGGAAATTAATGTACCTGAAGTGGAACATAAAGGTTCTGTTTATGGGCCTTGGATTCATGTCAAAAGAAGGAAACATAAGTGGAAAGTTCTTGTCAAAAGTGATAAAAATGTTACTTCCAAATATGTTCCAGTTAACAAGTCTCAAAAAGCAAATGGAGAAGAAGTTCAAGGATTGGCTGCATCTGAAAATATGCTAAATCAGGAAAATTTACAGTAGGCTTTGGAGGGTACTTTGTCTGATCCAACTTTACCTAAAGATGGAGGTTCAGTCTCTAATCAAGAAGAAATGGTAAGACTTCATGCCACCGATTTTTCTATTCCTAGCATTAATAAATTTGAATTGCTGGGTGAACACGGAGAGGTAATTGTTAATGAATTGGATGATGGGATTTGCACTTCTGTCAATCCAGACATTGAAGAAGGGGAGATAGTTTCCTCTGTTAATGGTGAAGTCTATGGACTGAGAAGGATAACTCGGAATGTTATCCTGGTATTGATAAACAAGAGGTGGATAGTGTTGGTACTTTTAAGCCTAAACTTTTTTTGGGTCCTTTAAATCAATCAACTAGGCTTAAGAAGCAAGAAGGACTTAATAAAAAGAAGGGTGGGGGTCCTACCCCCTTGGTGGCCAAATGAGTTCTTTTATTTTTTGGAATTGTAAAGGGGCTACAAAAAGGGAAGCCCCTCTATATTTGAAGGATGTAGTTAGAGATTGGAATGCAATTTATGTGGGAGTTGTAGAAACAAAAATGGCTTCTATGGACAAATGGGAGTTTAGTAATTGGATGGGCAAAGATTGGATCTTTTATCTTGTTCCATCTAATGGGATGTCAGGGGGTATTATAGTGATGTGGACGGCTGATTTGGCAAGTTTCTCCTTAATCACTGCCAACGATCAATATGTGATTGGGAAGTGTTGCATTGAGAACAAAGGCAATTGGATTATTTCTACGGTATATGGAAGCATAGATGTTTATGGTAGAAGGAATTTGTGGGATTGCTTAGGATCTCATTCTTCTTTGGATCTACCATTGGTGATTAGTGGTGATTTTAATTATATTCTCTCTCAATATGATAAAAGAGGGTGTAAGAAGTTCAAGTTCTCTCTTGCTCCTCAAGAGATGAATTCTTTTATGAACTAATTTGATTATCATGATGTGGGTTTTATAGGCCCAAAATATACATGGTGTAATAATAAATGTGGAGGATCTCATGTATGGGAAAGGCTTGATAGGTATCTTCTCAATTCTAAAGCCTTGGATATTCTCCCTCAAGCAGTTAACAGGCATGTGGCCTAGGTGGATTCTGACCACTTTTCGGTGGTTTTCCAGCTGGATTTCCATGGATTTTAGCAGTTAAGGATGCTAAGATTTGAAGACGTTTGGCTCTCCTACCCAGCTTCGTTCAATGTAGTTAAAAAAGCATGGAACAAACAACTTAAGGGGGATCCTATGGAGGTGTTAAATAAGAAGTTCCATAATGTGTTAAGGTCTCTATTCTTTTGGAGTAAAGCTAAACACAATAACCTTTTAGATCTCAAAGAGAAATTTAAAAAAGAAATAGCTGATTTGCAACTTGATGAAATATCTGGTGATGGTAATCTGGAACAAATTATTTCCTTGCTCAAATCTAAGGTCCATTAACTTAATATCACTCTTACACAGCTTAACGTGTGGTGGAAGCAAAGAGTGAAGCTTAAGTGGTTGAAGGAGAGTAACATCAACTCTCAATTTTTTCATGCCTTTGCTAATGGCGGGAAAAATGGTAATTTCATCAAGCAGCTTAAGGGTATAGATGGAGAGATGGTGACTGATCATGATGCAATCGAACATTCTTTTTTTTTTGAAAGAAATGAAGAAAATGCATTAAAGGAACCAAAGAACTACAAGTCAAAGTAAGCCTAAAGTATCACATTCCTCCTTCAAGCAATACAAGAAAGAAGGAGGAATCATAACATCATGAAGATCTTCCATAAAAAAGATCTCACAAGGGCCAAATTAGCACAAATATCCGCTAGTTTGTTCCCATTTCTAAAAGAATGCGAAAAAACAACTTGTTTAAACTCAAGTAAGAAAGCCAAATTTTCATCAATATTTTTACTAACCTTCCATTCTGTGACTGCATTATTAAGCAATTTGATAATATTCAAGTTGTCTCCTTCTACGATCACACCTTGAGCCTCCATCATCCAACCTTTGAGCAGCCTTTTCAGATCAAGAACAGCCATTAACTCTAAATGAGAAATATCCCAATGCAAAGATTTGTTTCCGAAAGCCATCAAAAACCTTCCCTTATCATCTCGGATCACTCCACCCATTCCCGCCAAGTGATTCCTTCTAAGAGCTGTGTCAATATTTATTTTAATCCATCCGGTAGGAGGAGGATGCCAAGTAGAATTCAGCAAAAGCTGGTTAGCACCCCAGTTTTCCGATTGGACATGAATAAAATTGCTTCTCACGGCAAAGGAAATAGCATTGGCAGCAATATAGTTATCTGAATCTTCATACTTATCATGAATAAATTTACACCTACTCTTCCAAAAAGATAGGATGCAATCGAACATTCCTTATTTCAATTGTTTTCTCAGAAATAGAAAGAGAGGGACTGTGTTATTTCTGGTTGGCCGAAGAAGCTGATGTCTCTTAGCAAGGAAGATGTAGAGATGCTGGAGGCACATTACACATTGGAGGAAGTTGAGAAAGTTATTTTGAGTCTGGGAAGTAATATATCTCCCGGAATTGATGGTATTCCTTATTCATTTATCAAAGCTTATTGGAAGATCATTGCTCAAGACACTTGGAAGGTGATTTCTTTCTTTATTTCAACCGGGAAGATGAACGATAAGTTGAAGGAGATGTTGGTGGTACTCATCCCCAAGGTCCAAAATCCCGTAGATCCCTCTAATTTTTGTCCTATTATCTTGTGTTTGTCTATTTACAAAATTATTGCAAAATTATTATTAAATAGACTAACATTGGTGATCCATAAGTTGATTTCGGAAAATCAAGCAGCTTTTCTAAAAGGGAGATCGCTATCGGAACATGTTCTTTTGGTACAAAGCTCTTTCACAAGTTTAGATTTTCTAAAGCTAAGAAAGGGATGGTGGCGATTAAAATCGATATGGCTCAAGCATATGATTGTATGTCTTGGAATTCTTTGAAAAATGTTATTAGCTACTTTGGATTTCCTTTGGGTTTTTCAAATCTTCTAATGGAATGTATCATAAATCCAAAGTTTGCTATTATGTTCAATGGCACAAAGTCTAATTGGATTGAAGCCAAGAGTGGTTTTAGATAAGGGTGTCCACTTTCTCTCTATCTTTTTATTCTTTGTTCCCAACTCTTGTCTGATAATCTGAATCATATTGGGAATGATTTAGGGATCAAAGTGGCTGCTTCGGCCCCTAGGATCTCACACCTTTTATATGCAGATGATGTTATGCTTTTTTCTGAAGCCAATTTGGATCATTTGACATTGTTTAAAAGGATCATAATAGATTTTTATAACTGGACTGGGATGTCAGTTAATAAAAAAAGTCTACCATTTTTTATGGGAAATCAGTTAGCAGAGCACAGAGAAAGTCATTATCAAAAATTCTCAATTTTAAAGATTTGGGTATAAATATGTGCTTAAGAAGGAAGGTTTCTTCTGATTTCCTTTTTCTTCTTGAGAAAGCTGCGGCTAAAATAAATAGTTGGGGGAACCAGTTCTGCTCTTTGCCAGGAAGGATTGTTCTAGTCAAGAATGTTTTGCTTACTATTCCTACTTTCTATGTGTCCAATTCTCTGGTTCCTATTAGTATCTTGAAGAAGGTGGAGAAGAAGTGCAGAGAATTCTTGTGGAAAAAACTGGATAATTTTGCTGGTATGCATTATATTTCATGGGATGTGCTCTGTAAATCATGGGCTGAAGGGGGAGCTGGCTTTCTTTCATCTGCTGCAATGATTGGACCTCTTAGAGCTAAATACACGTGGGAATTTATTAAAGGCTCTAATTCTCTTTTGTACAGATTACTAAAAGCAAAGTATGGGAATGTTATTTGTTTAGAAGAAAGGAAGAGAAACTATTTAGTTACCTGGAAGATTTTGATTAATGGGATGCAGGCTTTGCGTCCATTAGTAAAATGGAAAGTTGCTATAGGTAGTGAAATAGACATTATACATGATATTTGGATACTTAATAGAAGCATTTCTAAATGGCCAACATTCATCAACACTAAGGTTGAAGACTACCCAAAGCTTGATTACTTTATTACCAAGAAGGAATGGGATCAGAATGAACTCAGAAATTACTTTGGAACTGAATTAATCAAGTTGATCCTGCAAATTCAGATTGAAAAAGAAGATATCGAAGATTCTAGAGAAATGCTGTATAAATTTTTCGCTAAAACGTTATCTGCTTTAGCCAGAATGAGCCGTGATCCTGTATGTTTGAATGCTAATTGCTGGAAGTGGCTGAAGGTAGCAAAACTTTCACCAAGAGTTTTATGTTTTTGGTGGAGGTTACTGAATAATGGAATTCCTACCTTGGATTTGATGTATAGGAGAATAATTCATTCTAACCTCTGTCCGAGAGGTTGTTCTACAGCTGAAACAGGGGAACACATTTTGGTTAACTGTGCTTTGCTTCTTCAACTGTTTGATTTTTTGGACAAATGGGGATTCAAATTACCAAGATATATTTCTTTGATAGATTGTACGAATAACTTTCAGGTTTTGGCTAGTGCAAATCCTTTTATGGTAAATCTTTAATGTACAGTTGTCTATTGGTCTTGGAAAAGCAGGAATTGTGTCACTCATGGTCTCAAAGAGCTGGGAATGGGTTTCCTGTCAGCTAAAGCAATTGAAACTGCTACCTCCTCTGCTTGCTGTAAGATCTACTCAAATCACTGGGGAGCCAATCATCTTTCTAAGCTGTCTCCTTTTTCTTGGCACCCTCCTCCTCTCGAGTGGATTAAAGGTAACTTTGATGCTACTTTTTAAATTCTAATGAGGTCAGAATTGCTGGAATTTTTAGGGATCATAAGGGAAGGTTTATCTTTTCTTTCGAATTCAAATGTGTACATTGGGATATTGGTTTTTTGGAGCTTATGGCCATTCGTGCTTTAAAATTCTTTAACTATACTTGGAGCATTGAAGCTAAAGGAATTGTTATTGAAGGGGACATTTATAATGTAATCAAGTATCTACAAGACTCTATTAATAAAGCTCCCAATAAGGAGGAAGCGGCTGAAGATTTGTCTTTCTTGAAGGATATAGGTAACATTCTTTTTCATTGTGTTCATAGAGATTGTAATCAATTAGCCGACCTTTGTGCTAATTTTGCTCTTGTATAAGATTTTATTTGGGAGGATCTTTATTGTAATAAGATTCCTCCTAGATTTTTGGCTTTGCTTAGGAATGAGTTTGATAGTCTCTCTATCACTCACTAGATTGTAATAGGTTGTTTGTTTTTTTGGTTTAATGCTATTGACAAGTTCAAAAAAAAAAAAGGAAGCCTTAGAGGAAGGAAGATGGGCATTCTTTGTCGCAGCATTGGAGCCACTACATTATTAACCAATGATATGAGTGGTGAAAGTGAAGTCCAAGAGTGGTTGGTGCATGAGTTAATGATGGTCGAGCTTCTTAAAAATAGTTCTTGTGGAGGCATCAAGATCATTTGCCTATGTTTCATTTATTTTGCTTTGTTTAGCAAACTTGTTTTTTCTTTATTTATTTTAAGCATTGGTTGGTATTTGGAAAATTGAACTAGAATAATGAAATTTAAGAACCATTCTATCTATTATTTTATACTCAATTGGGAAATCTGAAATACTAATCAACCTTTTTGGTTGTTATTTTATCTTTGGTATCCCCTCCAACCCTATGGGTTTAAAATGATAAGTAGAGGGTCTTATTTTCATTATGACATTTCCTCTTTTCCTAATATTCTTGTTATGCTTAAATTGCTTGCTGATAAGACCTCCTTTTACTTTGTTTTAAAGGGAGTGTCTAGTAGTTTCTTTTATTTGTAAAAATTTCTTTTTTTAATTTTAATGCTATTCTCAAAAAAAAAAAGGAAGAATCACAAGTACCATCAGAAATGGAACAAAGGTAAGGATAGTAAAAATTATAAAAGTTCTTCTGATATTATCTGTTTTGAATGCAAGAAGTCTGGACATGTCAAAGCTGATTTTCCTACACTTAAGTATCACTCAAGCAAGGAGAAGGGTGAGGAGAAACCTAAGTTCATAAAAGAGAAGGACAAGAAGCGGTTCCAAAAGGCGTTCTGGGCGGATTCTGCATTTGACTCATCTGAGATTGAAGCTGAAGAGAAGATAACAAACTTGTGCTTAATGGGTGATCATCTTGGTCAGTCTGATCAAGAAGAGGTATATGAACCAACCTATGATCAATTACTTGAAGTTTGTGAGAACATTCATGCATCATATAAGAAACTTAAGAAAACTCATGCTAGTCTGAAATTGGAATTTTCAAATTTTTAAAAAGAGCATGAAATTTTAAGTAAAGATCACACTCAAATTGATATCAATCAATGTCATTACTTGATGAGTTTGATGAATTGAATAAAAAGCATTCTGAGTTGATTGTTGAGCATGATTCTTTGAAAGCATCCTACACCTCACTTGAAACTAATTTTAAAACTTGCATTGAAGAATTTGATAATACTGAGCACTATTTGAGAGTTGATAATGCTATTTTAGAAAGTGCGAACTTGAGGTTTAAAGATAAATTGAATGCACTTGAAAAAGATAGGAAAATACCCACACATAATCTAAAGCTAAAACCTAGGAAGAGAAATTATAACCCAAACTGATTAGTAAATTCTTTTCCTGGAGTTAAATGTTTCTCATGTAGCATGCTATGGCATATTTCACACACTTGCACTGTTCACCGTAATATACATTTGGTGTGCAGACCCAAATTGCATGATTCACAACATAACACATATGCTTTGCATTCTTCTTTTCATAAGAAGGGACCCAAACCTGTTTGGATTCCTAAATCTGGCATTTGATGATTTTTTAGGCTTTCTCTCATAAAAGGTCTCATTAGAGCATGTGGTACTTGGACATCGGAGGTTCACTACTCTTAACTACATAAACTTGCTACTTAATAAATTCTGATTTGTATTTTTTATTTACTATTTTTTCATATTTTTGTTGTTGTTTTGAGTATTGATTGTTATTTACTATCATTTTGTAACATTTTTTTTATCCCTGATGATTTTATTTTGGTTTTCTTTTTGGACATAGCTGAAATGATATTTTATGCATTGTTTTTGTTTCTGAAAATTTATAGTCAATGTCTAAACATCCCTAAATTCGTTAAAGGGAGAAACACCATTGATTATTTCCCTCCCTCTAATCTCTTTTAGCGGTGTAATTTTCTTTTCTAAACAAAAGTCTATCTCAAATTAACAACTGAACTTTGCAATTGAGATCTTTTCAATCTTGCTAGAGTAATATATCTTATACATATAATTTTTAAAGTCGTTTATTACCTTTAGATTTTTCATAATCTTATCATTGTATTTATCATATGATTTTGATTCTATTTTGTT